AGCCCAAATTGTAACCACTATGGTACCGGAGTTCCTTGCATAAGGAATAGGATCCTTCAATATGCTGTCTGCAAGAAACACACCTTACACATAAAGACAACAATAGATCAACTCATGGGCAAAATATATGATTGCTGTTAGCTTGATATGTTTGTCTATCCTTTGATGAATAATCTATTTGTTTCTTTATGTGTAAGGTGTGTTTCTTGCAGACAGCATATTGAAGGATCCTATTTCCTTATCCATTCTGTCATTCTCTGTCTCTTCACTGGTGCATTAAATTTATTGCTATTCAGTGTAATTATTGATAGGTATGAATTGATTGCAGTCATTTTGCTGTTTTTTGTAGTGCTACTGGTTCCTTTGTTCCACATTTTTCTTATTGAGTTCATTTTGTATGTTTTCTTGTCAATTTCTTCACTGCTGTTTTTTAATGTTTACAAAATCTTTGTCCTTTATTTAAATTAAATTTGATGTGAAGGTGTATTCATTTTCTCTGAGGCTACCCTGTAATTTATTAATCTCTTTCCCAGTTTAAAACAGTCTGTTTTACCCTAAAAGCTACTTGATTTCTTCACCATTTGGAAGTTTTGTAACTATAATTTTTCTACTTTTTGTTTGTATTTTTCTTCATTATATTTGACATCTCTGGTTCCCTATTGTGAGTCTTGTAGATTTGCTTTGCTTTGTATACCTCTGTATCTGGATTGTTTATTCTGGGTTCCCAATTCAGAAACTGTTCATTGAGACCCCAGAGCAGCTAGGGTGGGGAGTGGGGGGAGGGGTCAGGATATTTCTATTCCAGAGGTCAGCCAGGGGTGAGAGGTCCTACTAGTCAAGGGCTGGCCAGAAACAGTCCTGCAGGGCTGGAGGCAGCTACACCTGGTTTCAGGTGCCAGGGTTGGGACTGCTGACTCCTAACCCACTTTGATATGGCTCCAACCACCCCAAGAGCAGGTGCTTCCCTGGGAGTACACACAAATGGGCCTGGCCATGCCTCTGGCACCAGGGTCATGTGGGTTATGAGAAAAAAGTTTGCACCTTTCTTTCTGCCAATAAGAGGTACACCTCTGTGCCACAATCACTCTCTGCCTTCAAAGCTACTGCAAAAATTCAGCATGTCTGCATTGCACCAGACCAGCAGGCACATACCTTCTTCCTCCTGCCTACATCTGTTCAGCTGCTTCTCCTAGTTAGGGCTGGCCATGGCCAATGTTGCAGGTTTGGAGCAGGCCTTACCTGAATCCTGGCACCTGGCTTGGTGCAGATAGCTCCCCAGTTTCTTAGATGGGGCTCATAGCTGCAGCACTCCCCACTCTGCAGTTCTGAGCCCCAGTGCAGTATACACAGGTGTGGCCTGCACGTTTGTCTGGTCACCAGCGCAGTATTGTTCTTGCTGCTGTTGTTAAGTGTTGTCGAGCCAATTCTGACTCACAGCGACCCTGTAGAGGGATTCCAAGGAGCAGCTGGTGATTTTGAACCACTAACTTTGCAGTTGAAACCGACTTTGCAGTCAGGTACTTACCAGAAGTGCCACACCAGGATTCCAGGGGAGTACAGGAAGCAAGAAAAAAATGTGGACCTTTATCTTTGTGAGTCACCTGTATGTTTCTCTAATACCACGATGCCATCTCGTCTCTGAAGCTGCTCACAAAAGTTTCAGGTGACTGTACCATGTCTGGTCAGCACAACAGGCCAATAGCCAGCCTCCTTTTTTGCCATATCTGTTCAGCTTTCTTTCCTAGTAATCATCCAGTCCATCTCTCTGTCCCCTCACCTGAGCTCAGCATTCTAGGACTACCATCTACATCTGTTTGTTTGGTCTTCCCTTTCCTTGTTGTAGAGGGTCATCTTACCACTTTCCTGAATGTTATTTTTTTTAAACTTTTTATTGTGAATTTGGTGAAAGGTTTGTAGATAAGATCCTCAGCTCTGTATTCAGAAAACCATACACTTTGTTCATTTCATTGATTACAATTCCTTCCCTGAAACAACGTTTATTCCACTGCTTCTCGGTGGCCCCCTTTTACATCTTTTATTTCACAAATGAACAAGGTAAAAATATTTTTAGATGTATTTATTTAAATGTCCAAAGGGCACATTCTGCCAGCCAGCCTTCTGCCTGTAGGCACACAGCCACCATCTCTGCTGTCGCTATTTTTCTCAGTTGGGTCTCACGCTCCGCTCCTACTCTTCCTTCTTGATGGTACTGGGATCACCTGTTCCTGAAATGAAAGATTACCTATGCCCTCCTTTTAGTTACACATCTTCTACAATTACAGTTGTGACAATTTCCGGTAATCCTGTTAAAAATTATTTACAATTGCGTCATAAAATCCTCTCACCATGATTCCCAATCTCCTTTCACCAGCTCCATCTTGGGCCAACAGAAACTAGTGGGAGTTATACCTTACTCCTCTTATTCTGCAACTAAGCACACTCATGGAAGCTCCTATACCAGCTAGTTTATGCTTTTGTAGCCCACCCCCCCACTTTGATAACCAATGTCTAAATTTCTTCTCCCTATCAACCCAGTACAGAGGAAACAATGTTGTTCCTTAATATGAAGCATCCTTCCATTCTGGTTGGAATTTTGAGTTATTGCTTTCATAGGCAAAACTCCAGTTCATCAGATTGTAGCAATTTGTACTTGTTGTCATTATCAAACATCTTATATTCCTCAATTCGAGCTCTGGTCAACTAGCCATCCAAGTTAAATCAAATAGGTACTAGCTGCAAGTTTGGGAGTTCACACATAACCTCCCTACACTTTAGACCAGCTGTTTGCCTCACTCTCAGCCCTAGACCCCAGGGACTAGGTCAGTGCCCATGGTCTCAGGCGTTCACACATCTTCTTAATCTTCAGACCAACCAAACCTTCCTGTTCTCTCTCTCTTCTCAAGTGAAATGTTCTTTTTGACAATGAATGCAAGTCCGTTCCTCTTCAATTTGTCATTCTCAGTAAACAAACTTTTTCGGTTTAGAGTTGAAAAGATAGCTGAGTCTAACCAGGATTAGGGGTTTTCCAGTCAACAGACAAAAAGGAGATTGGGTGGGTAAGGAAGGGAATAAGCATATGCAGTGTGGTCATGGAGAAGTAAAAGGATACTTGGGTTTTCAGGTAATGATCAGTGAGTATGGTACAAGAGTGAGTAAACAGAAAGGCAAGAAGGAGATAGCATTAAAACTTTGGAGGTGGTGCTTATCTTTGACTCCTAGACCGACTGTAACACAAAGACCACAAGTGGATGACTCTGAAAAACACATTTTTATATTCTGACAGTTCTGAAGACTAAAAATTCAATCAGGGCCTCAGCTATGTTGGTTCCTTCCTTGTGAGTTGACCTGGGTATTTATTGGTTCTTTGGTTTGTAGATAACCCTCACATTGTATCTGTGTTGCTGTACATATGTGCTGCTTTTTACATACCTCATAGGTGATTCCGTTTCGGATTCCCATATACTGATACGGAGCCCGATTGATCGCATTAGGGTGCATTTTGGAAGGTGATTAGAGTCAAGTCACAGGTATGGGGTTAGGGTTCCACATTTTAAGGACACATAATTCAGTCTATAACAGGTTAGTTGTTGGTGATAAGAATGGGGTGAGGTCATGGTGTGATGACTGCAAAGGTAGACATGTTTGGAAGTAAGGAAGTCATGTTCCTGTGAGACCCAGGTGTTGGGTAGGTCATGCTGAAGTCATCCCAGACAGTCATGAGTGTGGACTTGAAGAGGAAGGTAGGTGAGCCAGTTACTAATCCTCTAGAGTTTGGGAGGAGTGACAGAGAAGCCCAGAGAAAGAAGGAAATGAGTGGTTCCGCCTCAGTGTCAGGAGCTTCCGAGCTGGGAGGTTTACAGAAGTACTGGAAATAGCACTAGCCAAAGACATTCTTTCCATATTTTGACTCTAAGATGATATGAAATATCAGAGGATAACAAACAGGTGTCCTTAGGGAACATATAGGTTACAGTTTCAGGCAAGAAAATAAAGGGAAGGTTCTGAGAAGTGATGGGCCAGTGATGGACATTCAGCTCAAGCAAGGACCCTTGAGGTGATGCCTTCTACTGCCTTGGATATGTCTAAGATGTTCCTCCAGCTAACCTGGGAACTCACAACAAACAACCTGTGTACCACATTTCTCCTGCACACCTTAACACATTGTGCGGCTCAGTGCACACGCAGAAAAGTATTTGGTGAGAGAATGATTATTCTTATGAGAGAGACAGGGACAGTGACTAACATGTTCCTATCCGACCCATAAAATATTGCTAGCAACTTTAACTAATATTACCATCCTCTTAGAGTGCTTCTTCCCGAGTCTTTGTCCCTCACTAGCTGCTGTCCTTGGGAGGGGCACTTTGTATGGTGGGATAAGGTGCTCTTCAGTGGCCAGCCTTCCCTGCTCTTGGGGTAAGTACACGTGGTTCTGGGTCCAGGTCAGGGAAGTGACCTGCTGTCTTGGTGTTCTGACTCTTCCAGGCCTATGCTTAAAAGGGTACCTGAACATGTAAGGGAGCCTGGATAGTTAAAGTAGACCAGTCCACTCCATTGTTTAGACCTGTGCTGTCCAGCATGGAAGCCATACTGGCTATTTAAATTAATCAAAATTAAATTTTAAAATCAGCACCTTGTTGCACGAGCTACATACAGGTCAGAGCAGCTATGGAACAGTTTATTGACTATCCCAGAAAGTTCTACTAGAATGTGCTGACCTCTAGATCACTAATGGAGTCCTGGTGTGGTACTGTGGGATAATGCCCTGGACTTCAAAGTCAGTTTGAATCGCAAGGTTGGCGGTTCAAATTCACCAGCTGCTCCTCGGAAACCCTTCACAGGGTCGCTCTGAGTTGGAACCGACACAACAGCACTTACCAACAACAAAGACCACTTGAAGTTAAAGCTGTTAATTTGATCTCTTTCTAACCTGTGTGTGTTTCTTAATTGATACAGGATCCCTGAACACGTTGGAAAAGAACTGAACACCCTGAACTCTAGTCATGGCCCAGTACAAGGGAACCATGCGGGAAGCAGGCCGCGCCATGCACCTCATCAGGAAGCGCGAGAAACAGAAGGAACAGATGGCGGTGCTCAAGCAGCGCATCGCGGAGGAGACCATCACGAAGTCAAACGTGGACAAGAAGTTTTCGGCGCACTACGACGCAGTAGAAGCGGAGCTAAAGTCCAGTACGGTGGGCCTGGTGACCTTGAATGACATGAAGGCCAAGCAGGAGGCTCTGCTGAGGGAACGCGAGATGCAGCTGGCCAAGAAGGATCAGCAGGAGGAGCACCGGCTGCAAATGGAGACGCAGCGAGAGAAAGCACGGCGGCAAGGACAGAAGCGCAAGATCTCCAGCTTATCCTTCTCACTGGAGGAGGCCGAGGAAGAAGAGGGCACAGGCGAGCAGGATCCCGGGAAAGCAGAGGTGGCCAAGAAGAAGAAGAACCTGGGCAAGAATCCCGACGTGGACACCAGCTTCCTGCCAGATCGGGACCGTGAGGAGGAAGAGAACCGCCTGAGGGAGGAGCTACGCAAGGAGTGGGAGGCCCAGCGCGAAGTGGTCAAGAGCGAGGAGATGGAGGTCACGTTCAGCTACTGGGATGGCTCGGGTCACCGGCGCACAGTGCGCATCCATAAGGGCAGCACGGTGCAGCAGTTCCTCAAGAAGGCCCTGCAGAGCCTGCGTAAGGACTTCAGGGAGCTGCGCGCTGCGGGCGTCGAGCAGCTCATGTACATCAAGGAGGACCTCATCCTGCCCCACCACCACACCTTCTATGACTTCATCATCACCAAGGCACGGGGCAAGAGCGGGCCGCTCTTCAACTTCGACGTGCATGACGATGTGCGCCTGCTGAGCGACGCCACCATGGAGAAGGACGAGTCCCACGCGGGCAAGGTGGTGCTGCGCAGCTGGTACGAAAAGAACAAGCACATCTTCCCGGCCAGCCGCTGGGAGCCCTACGACCCCGAGAAGAAGTGGGACAGGTACACCATCCGATGAGTGCCTGGTCTTCCCACCCCGTTCTCTGAGTCTGTGGTCCTAGCCCGTGCCTCAGCCCGACAGGAAGAGCCGGAATGGAAAAGTGGGGAGAAACACAATTTAATGACCTTAATTTCTTCCATAAAAGTTAAGAAAGCAGGCTCATGTTATTAAAGTCTAGTTATTCTGTTACATTATTGTTTGCTTGATTGGTTGGTTTTTTTGTGTAGCAAGAGCAGACCTTAAGAGGGCAGTATTTGTAATGTTGTCCTGTGGATTCATTATGTGATCTTGTAGCTAAAAGACTGGTCACAATGTGGGGTAGAAACTAGAATAAGGAGTGATTTCTTTTGTATGTTGGCTGTTGTATTAGAGGGGTCTTGGTGTGGCACTGCAGGATAATGCACTGGACAGCATCATCAGTTTGAACTGGAAGGTCGGCCCATCAAATCCACCACCCGCTCCTCGGAAACCCTGTACCGGATTGCTGTGGGTCATATCCGACTTGATGGTACTTAACAACAATCAACAGCAGTATTAAAACTAGTCATTGTAGCGTGGACTTTGGATTCAGGCTCTCTGGGTTTGATTTCCAAGTCAGTCTCTTACTAGCATGATAATTAACCCTCTGGGCCTCAGTAGTGCCAAGTGTTAACAGGGATTCTAACAACAGCCACTCCTAAGTGTGATATGAGCAATGAGTTAATATTTGTACAGTTAAGATTTCAACTCAATAAATATCTGCAGC